CACCACCTGTGTGGGCATCTGAAATGACGCTGTCCTCTGCATTTATGCACCTGAACCATTCCTCCGCAAACATAGCTAAAAGCAACTAGGAAAGCTGGTAACCACAAGAACTCAAGCTCCTTCAAGTTCTCTCCTGTCTGCACTGTTAAAACTCAGGTTTAGGGTCTGACATGTGAATATCACAATCTGGTAACAATTACCAAGAAAATACCAACCTAAAGGACAGTGACACACCCTCCCTCTGTTTACAAATGTCATGGTCATATGAGATACTAGTCAAACACATCAGCAGACTAAAAATAAACCACAATAGGATATGTTAATAAATATTTATTTCAAAACAGTATAGCTTTTTACATGACTAATGTTAATGTGATTTCAGGCTGAGAAGAAAACAGTTAGTGTTGATTGCATGCTAACTGCATTCAGAGGAGCAAAAACCATCAATCCTGGCATTTTATTCTCCTATTAGAAAATGTTACTAGGTATATCAAACACTTAATGCCATTATTGTTTCTAATACACCAGTGAGTACTAGTGCAGGACACAACTATAAGGCCCACATGTATCAGCTTGGAAGAAGAGCAGCCATTTACAAGCAACAGGGTTCATACTTTTAGTACCTTGTGGGCTGGTTCATGCACCAGCCAACAGAACCCATATCATAGAGAGGTAAGAAAATGTCTGCCCAGACCTCTAAGAGGATTTTATTCCCAGTTAGATCACCATCAAACCATTTTCACAATAGCATCTGCCACTGAAGCACCGCTACTTAGTCAGTCCCCCTTTCAGCAAGGGAGGAAGATGTGACAGCAAAGATGGAATTCTTTTACAAAATGGCCAAAAAGTCCCGATAAGGATTGCAGCACTTTGTGGCCTACACCATGCTTGTCACACGGCAGGGAGAGGGGATCTACATATCATGGCATGTTGCAATCGCTGAGGAAATGTCTTTCTCTTCTTGCTTCCTCTCCACCCTAGTTCACACAGTTAAGGTAACATGGGAAAGTAGCTGTAGCTTTTAGGATACCACATATGGGGAGCCAGGATAGCAGTGGCATTGCTCCTTCACTGTGTTCTATAGCCCCAGTTGCTGTTTGGTTACTTTAATGTTTTCTCTGTAAGTATCACTTCTCTAACCATTGTGAGTAGCATAAAGCAAATTCATGAAAGGTCTTGAATGCTTTGGATAGTATTGTAATAGGCGCCATGCAACAGACAATGCAGTCAAGGATCTACTGAAGCAAATGGTTCTGCCTTGAGAGAAGAAGGGAAGAATTGGGAAAAGTGACTTGTGGAGAGGGATTCATAACTTTGTGAAAGTCTATGGACTGATTATTCCAACACTTCAATGAAGTTTACCACTCTGCACACTACAACCTCCAAGTGGAAAAGCAGGGCTCTTCCAGGGATGAGTTTAACAGGCTGAAATGTCCATAGAGTCTGCATTTGGTCTTACAGAGATGTCACGACAGATAGAGCCCAACTGCCTAAGATTTGAGCAACTTTCTTGGAATTGTCCATTATTCTTCCAAGAATATGGAGAGGGAAAAGGAGGTTGCATGGTTGGGTATTACTGCAGTTCCTCAGTGAGGACAGAAGCATGTGGCGTGGGAGGCTTAGAGAGAGTTCTCTGAAAAGAAAAAGCAGTGTGTTTCAACTGAGACACCCACCTTCTGCTCTAGGATGATGTACTGACAATGCCAGAGTGCAACAGGCTGCTCTGCTGGTTCCCTGAAGGCAGGAAAGCCTGGCTGTGGATAGCAGATGTTCCATCTCCTCTCTTCCACCTCCTTCCAAACAAAGCAGGGCCTACAGCACTGAAGGGGACTGCTGCTTGTAGCAATAACCCACCTGCTACGATAGCCTCATCTATCTGAAGACCCATAGAGCATTACTTAGGCTACATGCCCACCACAGCATCTGCCCACTCCTTATACTACAAGGGCACTAGAAACACCAAGCATACTGGTCCAAAAGCGATTTTCATTCTACCTCAAACTGCAACAATGCCAGCAAAATGTCCACCCTCCTAAATGCACTCAGATCAGCAGTTAACCAAAAACACTTGGAATCTGAAGGGCCAGCAAGGAAACAGGGTATCAATTCTGACAACCTGCATTTTAGCAGTCAGAGATAAAAGGAAGGTTATAGAAAGAAAGTGAAACACTTCAACATACATACTTATTTTGGGGACAGGGGAGCAGTCAACAGAGAGTTTGTGGGTCAGGGTTAAAGGAAGAACAGCAATGGGAAACATTACTGTGGGGATCTGTTACAGACCGCCTGATCAAGAGTAATCTGTGGATGAAGCTCTCTGCAGACAGACAGGAACAGCCTCACGCTCACAGGCCCTTGTTCTCATGGAGAACTTCAACCACCCTGATATCTGTTGGAGAAACGGTACAGCCCGGCACAAGCAATCCAGGAGGTTCCTCGATTGTGTGGAAGACAACTTCCTTCTGCAAGTAATAGAGGAGCCAACAAGGAGAGGTGCCATGCTTGATCTCGTGCTCACCAACAGGGAAGGGCTTGTTGGAAATGTGATGCTCCAGGGCAGCCTTGGTTGCAGCGATCATGAGATGCTCGAATTTGAGATCCTCAGGACAGTGAGAAGAGCGTGCAGCAAGCTCACTGCCCTGGACTTCAGGAGAGTAGACTTTGGCTTCTTCAGGAACCTGCTTAGTAAGGTTCCATGGGATACAGCCCTAGAGGGCAAGGGGCCCAAGACTGTTGGTTGGCATTCAAGGATCACCTGCTACAAACTCAGGAGTGTTGCATCCCAGCGAGGAGGAAGTGCAGCAGGAGGGCCAGGAGACCTCCTTGGGTAGATAAGGAGCTGCTGAGGAAACTTTGAAGGAAAAAAGAGGCTTATGAAAGGTGGAAGCAAGGAAAGGCGACCTGGGGAGAATACAGTGATGCTAGCTTAGGAAAGCTAGCTTAGGAAAGCTAAAGCCCAGTTAGAACTAAACTTGGCTAGGGATGTTAAGGATAACAGGAAGGGATTCTATAGGTATGTAGCGAATAAAAGACAGACTAGGGACAACACAGGCGCCCTCTGGAAGCTATCAGGAGAACTGGCTACCCTGGATTTGGAGAAGGCTGAGGTTCTTAATGACTTCTTTGCCTTGGTCTTCACTGGCAAAGGCTCTGATCACACCACCCAAGTCTTGGAAGGCAGACACAGGGACTGTGAGAATGAAGACCTTGCGCCCACTGTAGGAGAGGATCTGGTTCGAGATCATCTTAAGAACCTGAAGGTGCACAAGTCCATGGGTCCTGATGAAATCCATCCGCGGGTCCTGAAGGAGCTGGCAAATGAAGTTGCTAAGCCACTGTCCATCATATTTGAAAAAACATGGCAGTCAGGTGAAGTTCCTGACGACTGGAAAAAAGGAAATATAACCCCCATTTTCAAGAAGGGGAAAATGGATGACCCGCGGAATTACAGACCAGTCAGTATCACCTCTTTGCCTGGCAAAATCTTGGAGCAGATTCTCCTGGAAGGCATGCTAAGGCACATGAAAATCAACAAGGTGCTTGGTGACAGCCAGCATGGCTTCACTAAGGGGAAATCCTGCCTGACCAATTTGATGGCCTTCTATGATGGGGCTACAGAACTGATGGACAGGGGTAGAGCAGTTGATGTCATCTACCTGGACTTGTGTAAAGCGTTCGACACTGTCCCGCATGACATCCTTGTCTCTAAATTGGAGCGACATCAATTTAATGGATGGACCACTCGGTGGATAAAGAACTGGCTGGATGGCCGCACGCAAAGAGTTGTGGTCAATGGCTCAATGTCCAGCTGGAGACCAGTAACGAGTGGTGTCCCTCAGGGGTCGGTGTTGGGACCGGTCTTGTTCAACATCGTTGTCGCTGACATGGACAGTGGGATTGAGTGTGCCCTCAGCAAGTTTGCCGATGGCACCAAGCTGTGTGGTTCAGTTGATATGCTGGAGGGAAGGAATGCCATCCAGAGGGACCTTGATGCACTTGTGAGGTGGGCTGATGCCAACCTCATGAAGTTTAACCATGTCAAGTGCAAGGTCTTACACCTGGGTCGGAGCAATCCCAGGCACAGCTACAGGTTGGGCAGAGAAGAGATCCAGAGCAGCCCTGTGGAGAAGAACTTGGGGGTGTTGGTTGATGAGAAAATGAACATGAGCCGGCTTCAGTGTGTGCTTGCAGCCCAGAAAGCCAACTGTATCCTGGGCTGCATCAAAAGGAGCATGACCAGCAGCTCAAAGGAGGTGATCCTGCCCCTCTACTCTGCTCTCGTGAGACCTCACCTGGAGTATTGTGTGCAGTTCTGGTGTCCTCAACATAAAGAGGACATGGAGCTGTTGGAACAAGTCCAGGGAAGGGCCACAAGGATGATCGGGGGCTGGAGCACCTCCCGTATGAAGACAGGCTGAGGAAGTTGGGGCTGTTCAGCCTGGAGAAGAGAAGGCTGCGTGGAGACCTCATAGCAGCCTTCCAGTATCTGAAGCAGGCCTATAGGGATGCTGGGGAGGGACTCTTCATTAGAGACTGTAGTGACAGGACAAGGGGTAAAGGGTTAAAACTCAAACAGGGGAAGTTTAGGTTGGATATAAGAAAGAAATTCTTTCCTGTTAGGGTGGTGAGGCACTAGAATAGGTTGCCCAGGGAGGCTGTGAATGCTCCATTCCTGGCAGTGTTCAAGGCCAGGTTGGACGAGGCCTTGAGTGATACGGTTTAGCGTAAGGTGTCCCAGCCCACGGCAGGGGGGTTGGAACTAGATGATCTTAAGGTCCTTTCCAACCCTAATGATTCTATGATTCTATGATTCTAAGTCCAACCTGACCAACAACACAAGGGAAAAGGAAAGGGAAGACACAGTAAAAATGTCTTTCAGATCTAGCATTTCACAACTGTAATCCAGTTCTAGTGCTTTCCAGGCTGGCAGATCCACCTAACCCCATCTACCACAACTGCCTATCCAAGTCTCATCACATCTCCAAACACGAAGTCAGCTTTGTCCACTGAACCTGCAGAACACAGCCTATGCAAAAGACTGTATCTGAGCACAAAATGAAATTGAATTTACGTTCAAGGAGTCAACACAAGAAGCAAGAACAAAAGGCTTCCACGCTTTGTGCTTTCCATAGTAACAGCTTAATTTATGAGCTTACCTGTAGCTGCCATACAGTTTGGAGTTCACTGAAGATTCATAGCTGTCCACACATTTCCATCACAGGGGTTCTGTTCTCTTCTTTCTGGGAGCAACAAAAGACAGAGGCCATTGGAGGACTTTATTGAACACACATTTCAGCCTTTTAATTAAAGAACAGGGGGAGAGAGCAGAACAAGAGGAAACAAAGCCAGACTTAAATCACTTAATAATATCTAAGGCCATGTGTCCACACCTTTGCACATGTAAGAGCAGTATAAAGATGCCATACTAATTGTAAATGGTGGCCAAATCAATAGTCTACGGACCTACATAGGCAAATTCTGAAGGAACTGGGCTGCTTGGCCCAAATATCTTGTTGACCTGCTAAAACAGCTGATACTCAAGACCACAATGACATGAAAAATACTCTGATTTAATTTGGATTTAGCCTTGATAATAGGCTGATTTAATTTGGATTTGGCCTTGGTAACACCAAGCACCTTTAACACCAGCACCACAGGACATAAGAAAACTTACACAATTAAGCAAGCAATGAAACATATTCTTGTCTTTTTTTCTTTTTTTTTTTTTTTAAGTACCTTTTTTATGCTGGCATGAGAAGCCCTGAAATGAGTGTTCTTAGCATTTATTATACATGGTTTTAAGCTTAGGATTTTCCTGCACTAAAAGTGGCAAGTCTTGTCCACTGAGGCTGCTGCAGACCACTGAGGAGCTAGTGACAGCAGAGTTTTGCAAGGCACAGCACCGTGCTCCAAGGCTGGAACTTACTGCCTGGTAGTCTCTCCAGAGACTACCATGGCCTTTCCAAGGCAGAAATTGACACCTATTTTGCTTATGTGCAAGTTTGGAAGTCTTTTTTCCACCCTTCTGCAAGTGAACTTTCAATCAAAAACACAGTCTATGCTATTTTTATCTATATTCAACCCAGCAGCTTTACATTAAGGTCCCTGTTAACAGAAGCATTGGTGAACACCACCTCATCCCAATGGTCTGCTTGAAGTGGCTGGGTGGGGAGCAACACTTCCTCAGCTCCTCCACAGGGCAGACATGGAAGGAGGACAGCCAAAAGCACATTAGGAGAACTGAATTTAGATCTTATTTAGACTTTAAAGCAAACATTTTCAGAAAGGAGAGCAGGGGAGAGTCACATCTACATACACTACCTGGCCACCAGCCACGCCAGTGCAACCATGCCCACAAGGCAAAGGCTTGCCTGACCATATCCACACCATGCTCTAAGCCACGACAGCAACTCAGGAAAGCCACAGCCCAGCTGCCGCCTCCTCAGCCCCTCAGGGTAAGAGTGCCCTGCCCACAGCCCTGCCTGCTGAGAGGATCCTGTCACAGAGCAGGAGAGGTGGTGCCCTATGGCTGCAGGGCAGGAGGCCCAGAGCCTGCCCACTGTGGGGCTGATCTTCCCCTGGGCACCGGAAGCGGGCATGTGAAAAGGCAGAGCATTTTCCCCCAGAAGAGGAGCTAACTTGTCTGCACATGCCTGAGGGAGTAAAATAATCCCCGTGGTTACTGGGGAAGGGGCACTCGCCCCAAATACACAGGAGGGCTTGCTAGAGACATCTCAACCCCAGCTGAACACTGATGGGGGGGGAAATGTATGGGACTTGCAAAACATGAAGGTCTGGTCTCCCATGTGTGAGGCCCCTTTCCCTCCTGGCTGCTTGAACCATGGGGAAAAACAGGTCCATTTAAGATAAGCAGCAGCACTCAAGCTGTGATGATGTTGCTGGTACGTCCTGTGTGGTACTGCAGAGAACAGTGGCAAGAAAAGGGAATTGAAAGCCTTAGAGGGGCTCTGGAAAACCACCTTCTCCGCAGGCTGGCAGCTGGACAGGTGCGCACTCACCCTTGCACAATCACTCTCTGTAGCCAAAAGCACCCAGAAAGTGCAACAGGCAGTATTCGGGGGTCAAGTGAGCATGGAGGTGTGAGGTCACCGGGCGGAGGAGGGAACCAAGACATCTCCCCTTGTCCATAACCCCCTCAGACACATGGCTATGCCCTATACTCCCTGCTAGCACTGGGTCACTGCTCAGAGCTTCCTCTCTGCAGGCTGACAGGGCCAGAGGCAATGGCCAGTCTTCTTTAGTGACATTCCCATCCCTAAGTAAGTTTTCACCATGGAGACCGCCTCTCTCTTTCATCTCTCATCCCAAGAGAAACAACATTGCGGGGCTCCAGTTCCTGCCTGTTAGCTCAAACCAAAAGGAATAACTATAAACTAAGAATAAATACTAATTAACCTGAATCTTTTTTCATATCGTGATCTGAACCAGACGCTATATCTATCTTTAACGTAAGGCTGCTTTGAGATGCACCCTCTATCTGCAGCAGGCAAAAATAAGATTCTTGCTTTTGAGAAAGTTAATTGTGGGCCTCAACAAGTCACATTTCTTGGCAATACTTATCTTGAAATGCTGTGAACTCACAAGGGTTTGAGAGGCCATATATTTTGAGTGCCTCCAATACAGCGAGTTTTGTGATCGAGGAGCATTTAATCCAGCAACTTTCCCACATCCTGCTGGAAAAAGAGGTGAGTTATTTCTCATAGTGTGGACAGCTTTTGAGGTGCACACAAGTGTTGAATAAAGGCTGTCCCACAAAATTCAGTCAAAGGCTACACAGAAGCACAGCTGAGATTTAGCCCCACCAGTGCAGGGGAGAGTGGGGTGGAAGGCATACACTATTCCCTGTTGAGCTGGTTAAAGTCTATATTTGGCTTTATATGGGTTCTAGTATCAGAGAGAGAAAAATAGAACAGGGTTAAAAATGAAGATTTATTTCCTCAAGTATTTCAATTTTTTTCAAAGCTGCTTTGTTTTGATTTTTTTTTTTTTTTGGTTGAAAGTAAACAGTGTACAGCTGTGAAGAGCTGAGCCAACAATAACAGTTACCTCTGCTCTCCTAGAAAAAAGCCCACAAGTCTAGGCTGAAGGAAAGAATGGCAGCACCATCACCCCAGGAGAGCCTGAACAGCTATTTGGTAGCCAAAACCACTGAGGATTAAGTATCATTCCACCTTCTTGACAAGTCCAACTACCGTCTATCTCCTCTCTGTGTCTTGCAAAGTGGCGGTGTTTCCTAAGGTAGTAAGGTATTAAGCATGCAGAGAAAACCTTATGGGACAACCAGAAGTTACTTCATTCTTGCCAAATCTGATGAGAATTATATACCAAAGTTTTTGAGAATCCTGCTAAATTTAATGACTAAATTTTTCTTAAGTCCTCTATTTAAGGTGTTGGCTGGCTGTAAATCTCCAAAGGTACCTAGTCAGCAGGAAGCACTAGACAGAGTTTAAGCTACGTGAACAGAGTCCCAGGTGCTCATGTGTATTTTAGGCGCATAAACCAACCTTCAGAAGCCTGGTCAAGAGTCCTTTCCTTGAACTGAAAGCTCATATTCTTAGATGAGTCCCACAACCAAAACTCCCATTGTAACAAATGCACAGGCATCTCCTTTCCTGGATGTGGGTGGTTTTGATGCCTGCGCTAGTTATAAGAAGCAATGTCCTGGAGAATGTGAAATTTAGGAAGATGAGTAATGTACAAAGTGTGGAGGCAGTGAGAGATGATCCACATATTATGTGCTTTTATTTAATAATTTATAAATAAATATGTGCTTTCCCAAACTGCCCCTCAGCCTAGCAATTATATGTTGCCTGATTTCTTGTTAGTGCTGTTCTTTTAGAATAACAAACTGTTCCCAAAGCCTCACATACACAGTTAGACAATCAAAGTACTGTGTGCGATTTTCCACTTAGTTCATTCAGTTAGCTGCAAATAAAACAATACAACTAAAAGCCTTGTATGTTTCTCTGAAAAAATACAAAACTTTAGTTGTTATTATTAATATATACAACCTACAAGAAAGAGTAACAAAGCCCCTTTGTCTTCCCTGTTGTAGTAATTTTCTTATCCTTTTCTGTAGATGCCCTGGCAGTCATCAATATTTCTTTCAGTCACTGTTCTTCAAAAGACACACACTTTTCATTCAACTGCACAGAATGGAAAGGAATTCAGTGGGCCAGATTTCCTTGGTGATCAGACCCACTTTAGCTGCCCAGGGTGGACTCAAGGTGAAGATGCAGCAGTCTCATCAAGAAGAGAATTGAACCTATTTAGAAGGGAAGAGGTCAACATTTTAGCAGGCAGTAATGATATTTCTGTTCAGATTTTACCTAGATATTTTACCTAAATATTTCATATTTCTGGAAAAGCAGCATCTTCATGGCTACTGATCTGTGCTCACCCACTTAATATAAATGGCATACCAAGTTTTAGTGGATCTGTAGAGCCATTCCTTTTATGGTTTATGGGGCTTCACTAATGAAACCTGATGATAATCTAATCAATATTATACCAGTTCCACAGGTGGAAAAGAGAATAGAGGCTGTACCTTGCCCCACGAGAAAGTGATAAGCCATCCTAAGAGAGCAGCTGTGACTGTCTCCCATTCCACTAAGCTCCTCCAGTAACTGTGCAGATTTCTATCAGCCAAGAACACACTCAGAGTGTGCAGTGCTCAGCAGCAACATCCCTGCAGTCTGAGAATGCACTGTGTTTGTCCAAATCTTACAACGTTTCCAGAGCTTTTATGAGAAGGGTACATGTCAACACTGTCCCAGGTAGAAGACTTGCTGCTATTCGGTATGTTAATTCATTATTTCAGCTCTAATTTTTGACAGAGGCTTTGATTCAGCCTACTCCTGCAAGAGAATAACAAACTGCTGATTTGGATCTGCAGACTTAATTATTATCCCACCAACATAAATAAGAATTTCATTTAAGTTCAGTTCCTGAAGAAAAAATGATTGTGCCTACTTTGATAAGATGGTATGAAATCTATCCAAACATTTATCAAATTATGTGAAATCTTATGAAAGAATATGTTCTGAGATTTTGTGAATAAAATCCCCCAGGAAGCAGTAACACCAAAATGTATGTCAGAGCAGAGACTCACGAAGTTTGGTCCAAGGGGAATTCATAGCTCATCTAGTGTTCACCTTTATTCTTTTATCCCAATACACAACAGTACAAAAAGGGGATGGCAAAGTAAAGAACCAAAACC